GGAGGATAGTGTTGATGTATGCGGGGCAGACGAGAACTTCCAGCTCAAGCACACGAAGCCCGGTATGCTCTCCATGGCCAACGCTGGCAAGAACACCAACGGCTCCCAATTCTTCATCACCACGGTTGTAACTTCTTGGCTCGACGGCGCTCACGTCGTCTTTGGTACGCTGTTTGCATGTCATAGCGATAGCTGTCGATACTAACTGGTGGACAGGTGAGGTCGTTGAGGGTTTGGACCTCGTGAAGAAGATCGAGTCGCTCGGCTCTGCCTCCGGTACCCCCAAGGCCAAGATCACCATCGCAAACAGCGGCTCCCTCTAGATTACGCCGGATGGATGTATGGCATGAGAAGCCGGACGCATTCTCGGGGAATGCAGGCTAATACAGAAGCAGAAGAAATCCATTTTGTATTCTCACTCACGCAACGCACGATTGTCGACGTCATCGGGTGCTATCGATCGTTGCTACACACTTAGCGCGAGGCGGTGTTCCATGTGGAAATGGCTGGGTTTGGGCGGCCTAGTGGTTTCGCCGGAGGTCTGCTGAGACCTCTTGAGACACCATGTTGCTTGGAAGAGTCCGGTCCAGGAGGCCGAGCGGTGTGTTCGGGATCCTGGTGGGCGTGATAGAACTGTGGGACGCACGCGATTTGTTATTTGTGGCAAGATCTCAGTGATATCACACCACAAGACCATAAGTACTATGCAGGAAACGCTATGCAGGAAACGCACTCGCGACATGCGCGCAGTCTTCGTGCGTATCTGGACTAGTGTCACTGTGCACTCCCTACCTTTCGAGCTGAACCCACCCAAGTGTTCGAGAATAGGACGGAGGTGGTGTTACGTGAGCTGAATACGGTAATACCCTTGCCTTTTGCGGCAGTTAGGAATCACAAGCGCCTGGAGTCGCCATCGTTGCGGGAGATTATTCAATAATTGCAAACCGGAGGAACGCTGTTCGCTCTCACCATCATGGCCACGTTCTGCGCTTCTCAGGCGTACATCATGATCTTACTCATGCCGACGGTATACAGTTGTCCACCTACATCCTCAGGCCAAGCTGTCCGGAGGGCGAAGCAGCGGAAACCTGGAACGTGCGCATTGCTAAGTACGTAGGTTTATCGCCTGCTCTCGTCTGCTGCTAGTAGGTTAACAGGCACACACGGTCGTAGCTGCTGTGGAGTCGACTTTTCCCTAACGGCAGGGTGTGTTACACCTAGGACCCTTATCGCGGAACAAGGGAGGAGGAGTGGCCAAAACCATGTCTCTAGCACCCCATTCCAACACGAGCTCTTCGCCAACACCGGCGGAACGAGAACCTTTGCTAGGGCCAGACTCGGAAGCGCAACATGGCGCCAACTATGCGTCGGTAGATGCGCACACCCCTGCTCTCGAAGGGCCCGACGATTCACGACACCACTGTGAGTTTTCTCGCATTCACTGGGTAATGCTCGTTGCTCACTCGCCGCAACTCGATGTAACGACAGCAAATCGCCAGTTAGGTCAGTTTATAAACTACATGTCACATACGCGCCGAGGTATGACCGTTGTCATGTACTACAGGTCTGACGAGTACTTCGTCGCTGATCTTCAACCGGGTCATTGGTACTGGGTAAATGCTGCCCATGTCTAAGACTATTGTGAATGACTGAAGCCCTGGATATGCTCAGGATATTCGCAACCCCAAGCGTGATTCTTCGATCGTCAGGAAGCGTCGGGCTCTCGCTGGTCATGTGGCTGCTGGGTGCTACTGTCGCCCTATGCGGTACAGCAGTGTACATGGAGCTCGGAACGGTGGGTCGACTTCTCGTCGAAAGTGACGTGTCCAACTAAAGCTTGAAATTGTTCTTCGCAGGGCTTGCCTAGAAACGGCGGGGAGAAGAACTACCTGGAGTTCATCTATCGACGACCGAGACTGCTCGTCACCTGCATATATGCGATGTATGCCGTTCTCACTGTGAGTCTCCGTAGTTCATTGCACGCAAATTCGCCCTCAATTACACCGTGCAGGGATGGCAAGCCGCGTCATGCTCCGTCTTCGGAGAATGTAAGTCTGCACTCCCTGGACACAGTTGCGTGAGCTTCAACATGTTGCAGATGCGCTTCATGCCCTCGACCCGACCCGTCCCCCATCCCCCATGACTGCGCGTCTCGCGGGCGTCGCATGTATTACCTTCGCACTCCTCTTGCACGGCACGGCGCTCAAGGCTGGCTTGCGCTTGCAAAACTCCCTCGGAATATTCAAGGTATTTATCCTCGTGGGTATCGCCTTCAGCGGACTTGCATCCTTGTTCGGCGTGCCTGGGTTCAAGTTGGACAACGTGAGCGCATTTTGCTGTATGTACCTCGCCAGCTGATCATTGGCGTTTTCATAGCCACCAAGGAACTTCGAATGGGACAAGATGTGGGAGGGCAGCTTGGAAGGAGGAGCTAACGCGTTTGTGACGGGTCTCTTCAACGTCATCTGGTCGGTGCTCCTTGCTGTGGTTCCCGCTGAGCATGAGTTCAAGATGTGAAACAGGTGTTTCATCGGATACTCCAACGCCAACTACGCACTTGCCGAAGTTCGCGACCCCGTGCGGACGATCAAGCGGGCCGCCCCTCTCGCCATGCTCTCCGTCACTCTCGTCTACATGCTCGTCAATGTTGCATACTACGCTGTTGTCGACAAAGACGAGATCCTCGGGAGTGGCCGCATCGTTGCTGCGCTGTATTTTGGGCGGTTGTGGGGCGTGAATGCCGAGAGAGTATGTGCCTCTCACATGGATGCTCCCGTAGTACTGACCCTTTCTTTCACGTAGATCGTCAGCTTCATCATCGCGCTTTCCACATTGGGGAACATCATGGCAGTCCTGTTCACTCACGGACGCGGTATGTGGATGGTTCTCTTTTTGTACGATTCAGCTCATCCGGCTTGCTGCAGTCGTCCAAGAGCTAGGACGCGAAGGTGTCCTCCCCTTCTCATCGTTTTTCGCGAGCAGCAAGCCGTTCAGTGCCCCCTTCGCAGGCCTGTTCGAGCAATGGCTCATCACAAGCACCCTCGTAGCGCTCATACCGCCGGGTGACGCTTACTTGTTCATGCTAAGCTGTTCGTTTCTGACCATTTTCCCCATGTGACGAGAACGGCTAACGATACAACAGTGTCGTCCTATCCGCTCGCTCTCATCAACATGTTCGTGTCGGGCGGCCTGCTCTTCATCCACGCACCGGAGCGCCTGCTCCCGAAGCGGTTCCGTGCACTGCGCGCATCATACGACTGGGTCCCGCCCTTCCGCGCGTGGACATCGGTGGTGCTCTTCTTCTTCCTTTCGAACGTCTTCCTGGTCTTCGTCCCACTCAAGCCGCCTGCGCGGGGGTTCAAGGTCTACGATGATCTACCGTACTGGGTGAGATAGTTACATAACTCGGTTGGGCGACTGATTTCAAACGTTTCTCCGTCCAGCTCCACGTTCTCGTCGCTTGGTTGATCTCTTTCGGCGGAATCGCGTACTGGTACGTATGGTGTGTGTGGCTTCCGAAGCGGGGCGGGTATGTCTTGGTACGGGACTGGGTGAGAGATGATGACGGTTCGACACGAAGGGTGGTTCGCAAAGTGATAAGCTCGTCGACGAGTCAAGACTGAGGACACGGCGGGCGCTACTAATCTACATAAGACAGAGACCCACATATATTGGTCGGCAAGCGTACGCCTTAATGGGGCGAGCTCGACATATCCACAGGCCTGTGCTGCAGAGTTTCTTGATTGGATACTCTCAGCTGTTCTATAAACACGCGAACATGCTGGAGTGCGACACCACGCTTGCTTTATCAGGAAGGAAGGCTATGACGTCCGTCTGTGCGTTTGTCGAGGGTATGATGCAACCCATGCCACCTCGATCCACACCGTCCCACTGGCAGAGCGAGAGCATATAAACCATGATTGCCTGCGTCATACAACTCGCACTCAACTATTCTCACTTTTCCATCTGTTTGCTCGAAACCACCTATATCCATTGTCAATATGTCCAACCCTCTGACTTCTGAACGTCACAACGACTTCGTTGGCGGCGACGCCAGCAAGGGGCGCATCCCTGGTGCGGAAAAGGCCACTACCGGCCACCACTTTGTAGCGGTCGATCTTCCGAGAGGTGCGTAGTCATACACTGGATTGCGTGGTGTCCACATATCATTAACATCGTCCCCATCCCAGACCAGAAACGCCACGCAAACAGGGCTGAGGAGCACCTTCCCCCTTCGACCGGACGCGACGCCCCTCCGGCAGGAGGCGTTGCCCCTGGTACACGCACCGGCACTTCTGGTCGTGAGTAGTCTCGGGTTTGAAGACATTCAATCGGAGCACCGACATTTGCCACCTTTTCAGCATTGCCGTCAGACATACTCAGCCATCGCTCAGGTGTCGCGCGGCAGCCGTCTCCCGTGCATCAGATCACCGACAACACCTCTCCGCTCCCTCCCGCGCCCGACTCGCGCACGGTCGTCGACAAGGACCCGTACGCCACGCCGATCTCGGCGGCGGACACGCTCACCGGCGCGACGTCGGCGGACGTGCACGCCGGGTATGGCCACCCTGGGCAGGGGATGAGCAGCGCGGAGATGCACCATGACGGACAGGCCCATCGCAAGCGGCAGATGCTTGGCGAGGAGCAGTATGGGTCGCATGAATTTCCGAGGGAGGCGTAAAGAGGACTTACCAAATTTGTTGAAAGAGTTTGTAACATTAGGCTGTTGTGAATAGGCGATATCGATGACTTGCGAGCGAGTGTCCTGCACCGTTGCAGACCGGAGTAATCTTGTTTGTCCGAGTAAGTAACGGCCTGATTCAATGCTGTGATACTAGTTTCTTTGTTGTACCAATGAGTTTTACTGTCGTGCACATGTAAGCTCTGCAGGGGTCCCACTGCAGTGGCCACCAACGCATCGGGCAGACACTGCTCAATGTAGACGCACACAAAAACATATAAAATTCTGAGAAACTTTGTGACAACAGATGACAGAAAAAAGCCCACCGCGAGGGTCGAACTCGCAGCCTTCAGATTCCTTCAGTCATACGACTGTAAAAGTCTGACGCTCTGGCCGATTGAGCTAGGCGGGCATAGCTTTGATTAAACGACAGCATCTATCACTGGAATCCCCTCCTGTGTGACGCAGGGCATTGTGCCGAACGTCATTGACCGTTCCTTCACGCGAGAAGTCACGGTGTCACGGTGAAGAACGTCGTTCATGTCCTTGTGGCGTTCCGAGGAGGCGACAGTGAGAGCCTGCTGTTTGCTTTGCCCTCATCTCTTGATCAACGTGTGCTGATGGCTGCTCCGCGTACAGGAGGCCTCCGGGCGCAGACTCACCGGACATAGAGCTGCGACAGTATGCACGAGTCAGGGTGAGCGCTGGCGGAGGCGGAGGTTTGGTGGGAAGGCTCCCGGATGTGGCAGGAAACTTTAATCTGACCGAAGGGAGGAGGACATGGATTCGTCGACGGAGGGGCAGTCGTCTGGGCCGGTGTCTGGCGATTGCGGGGCCATGCGCGGGGGACAGAGGGCGAACCAAGGACGAAGACACGGCTCGATATGGGCTGGCGAAGCACCGCTTGTGGTCGAGGATCGCTGCAGCCCGCCCGGCTGGCGTCTGCGCCTGCCCGAAGAGGGCTCGAGGTGCCATTCGCATGCCCGATCCGGACGAGGGTGGTCGCATGGACGTCCTCGCTGCTGTCGAAGAGAAGCTCATGGTTTGATGGACGGCGTCCTCCGCCACCGCCAGCCCGCTGTATAAATACCGCCTCCCCCGTCCCCCGCCCGCCCTCGCTTTCGTCTCCCCATCGTCTCCCTTTCCCAGCCCTAGTCTCCCAGAGCTCTTCCTACGAGGTATTCGTCCTATTATCCCGGTCGCTCCGGCGTCCGCGCACAACTCCAAGTAAACCTAATCGCTGCATACTACTTCCCGGTATCCCGCTACCAATCCTTATAGTCGCCTCCGCCCAACGCCCAACGCCTTTCCCGTGCAATGTCTAGCTCTCCCGCTCAACTACAACTCTCTCCGTCTCGCTCTCCCTCGCTCTCGTCGGTTTTCTCTCGCTCTCCTCCGCGCGACACGCCTGCCACACCTCCTACTGCATTCGCTCGTTCTCCGCACGCTCCCCCGACCCCTCCCGATTCCTCATCGCGTGCTGTCCAGCATGTTGCGCTCTCTCCGCTATCCAACTCAAGCCCAGACACGTCCTCCGATCTTTCCCTCTCTACCGCACTCTCCGCGTCCGACGCTCAGTTTCAATCGCGCCTGCTCGACACTCCCATTGATATTCATTGCCTTGCCCCCGAACTCGACAGTCCGGGTGCGCTCCAGGACTCCGTAGTGTCGGTTGAGCGTGACACTTTATCAGTCCTCAAGCAACGTGAACACGCCAGTCCCAGTAAGTGTGGTCGACCTCGTTCAGTAAATTATTGAAACTCATATCGGTTCGTGATCCTCAGCGCCTACTCAAGAAGAGGTGTCGCGCAAGCTGTCCGCCGACTCCCTACCTCCTCCATTCGTTCCTGCAGCCGCTCGCGTGCAACCTATCTACGAGAGACAAGAGGAGACTCCAGAGCCGTCCCCAGCTCCAGATTCGCGTCCACCCAATATTTACATCAACGGGCTTCCTCCAAACTTCCCAGAAGAGGAGCTGCTGAACATGACACGTCCGTTTGGAACGGTGCTCAGTGTGCGGACGTTCACCCGACACGTGAGCGACAAGCCTTCGTGAGTTACTCTGTCATATTCATAGCCCCCCACCGATCCGATGCCCATTGCTCGAGTCCGTATATTTATATTCCTAATACGTTTGACCATCCCTTTGATACTTGTCGTCAATCGCTTCTACCGATGGACTAACGTTCTTTCTCGCGCAGCGGTTATGGCTTCGTTCTGTGAGTATGTTCAAATCGTGCTGTCCTATATCAATGTTGACACTGCACGAATGATATAGCTTCGAGACACTGGACGCCGCAGAGAAGTGTATCGTCTCCTTGCGCAAGTATCGCAACCTCCACCCATCGTTCTCCAAGGTTCGTTCAATAGTGTGTCATCTTAGAGGTCCATTTTGATGACCATGATCGATATAGCAAGTGCATAAGATACCCGGCACTGACTATGCCTCTGTCCCAACGACCTTGACCACTCATGCAGGTCCGGTTGATTCCTTCAAGTCGAAGATGGAGCAGCTCGGCGATACAGGATCGACTAACCTGTACATGGAGGGACTGCCGCTCAGTATCACGGACGAGACTCTGCGTGCCCTCGTCACTCCCTATCGCATCATGAGTTCCCGTTTCTTCCACACCCGTCTGAGTAGCCCTCCAAGGATCATCGCCTTTGTTCGGTCAGTGTGTCTCCGATGTCCCATTGTCCGATGAAGCACTGATGGGAGGATCTACAGGTTGGAGAGTCGCACCGCTGCGGAAGATATCGTCGAACGTCTCCATGGCCGATTAGTCAGGGGTTGGAATGACGCTGGTTGTAGGATCTCAGTCAGATTCGCGGATACGGCAGAGCAGAGGGAACTGCGGGTGCGTTCATTGCTCGATTGTGTGAGTGCACACCGCTGATGTGGCTACTCATCTAGCGGACCGAGCGACACGGTCGTGAAGGCGAGCAATCACCAGCTCGCCTGACGATGGCTCGCGCTGCCCTTCTCAACCTCAAGGGTACCCAATGCCAAAGTGCCGCACAGTCGCCGACCCTGACTGATATCAACCTGGGGTCCTTGCCAAACTCAAACATAGGGCTCGCCCTGAACTCCCTTGGGTTCGGCCAGCTCGGCGCTCAGGTGTCTCCTCTCTCTGCTACCTCGCCTCTTCCTGTCCAAGATCCATCGCTGCGAGCCGCGCTGAGTCCACAGGAGTTCTCGGCACTCGGTGTCGATTCTTTCGATGCTCTCAGCGCGCGAAGCTCACAGATTCCGGGCCAAGGCTTGCGGATCCCTCAGAACTCCGTTGGTAACGGTGGAGGCGTTCTCGATAGCGAGCTGCAGTTGGCGTTGATGGGCATGCAAGGGCTACGCAGCGGCACTCTGAACGGCTACACTCCCGTTGAGCAGCTCATACTACAGGCGCATGCTCGACAGCAGCGTGCGGGTACTCTGGCAGCCCATTCAGGAGATGCACAATCCGGTCTCCAGAATCTCCAGGGTAACCTTGGGAGGACACCGAGCTCATCTGGGCAGGATATCAACCGACGTCTGCTAGACTTTCTCCCTCAGATGTCGGAGGACGAGTTCCATGCCACCGCCGGTCTTCAACACTCTCTAGGTCTCAACCCCGGAGACGGTGAACGCGTCCCCTCGCTCGCTCTAGATATGGAGCGTCATATGTCTATTTCTGGTCAACAAGCGCGTCAACGCAACCATACCCTCGCTGCTCAAGCCCGTTCCGAGGGTGATGACCCGACCCTGCATGTTAGATCCTCTACTCTACCATCCCAGTATCTCAGCATCCGCTCCAACACCAGCAATATTCCCATCTACGACTCGAACATCAGTCTTGGCAGCAACGCTCATCACAACACACTCCGCAGCACCAACACCGACGTTTCTTGCAGCAAGAACCGTTCGTCCCTCTCTATGGGGAATTCTACTAGGTCGCGCAACACCAGCACAAGTAATACCAGCTCAGCCCCTCTACCCGATACCCAGACTCTTTTCTCGAGCAAGAACAACATTAATGTCCCTAGTGCCGCCTCCCGCATCACCATGAAACCCATGACAACATCTACGACAGCTACGTCCCTACCGCCGTCTTCTGGCGCGAACATGAGCAAGCTAGGCAGGAACACGAGACTGGCTGGACATGTCGCCGGCGCCAGTCATGCTGGAGCCATGCGCGTTCCCGACACCCACCAAGAGGCGGACGACGAGGACGACGAGTCGCCGGTCGTATCTCCCGCCCTGACCTACTCGGCCCGTACCCCCGCGTCGCTCAGCCCGGCGACGCCTTACTCTGGCTTCTTCGCTGACGGCGGAGAGACGTTCAAAGGACATGGTGTCGGAGTGGTCGGCGGTGGGGAGTTGCGTTTCGATGGCGGCGTCGGCGAGAAGGCCAAGGGAACGCCGGACATGGCTAGCCAGTGAAGGCATGGACCCTCGTCATATCGTATCGTCGCGCTGAAGGGGCTACGACTCGGAAGTCTCGGACTGTTGTTGACGTTACGCTCGTTTCGGTCTTTGCCATCGTCTTAATCGTGTCGTACTACAGCTACAGGCTCACAGTCTTGCAGCAGCGGGATGCAGTGTTCGAACACCACAGAGTAGAAATTGTTGTACGAATAGTGTGGTGTACTCTTAGCGTCTTATAATGAATGTCGTCGCACAGTAGACTCTGTCGGAATACTTTTTGCCCCGATCTGACTCAGGGATGGCACGTGTGTGTGGGTAGGCGTTTGTTTATTTGTCTCTGTGGGCGGTCGCGTCGGGTGCGGGCGTCGGTGGGCGTCGTCCTCTCGTCGTCGATTGCGTCGGGATTGGGACCAGTCTGGGGTTTATATACTCGTCCTTGATCTCACCGATGGCGACAGTCTCCCAGCCAGCCTTCCAACCCCGCTCTCGACCTCTACTTCCACAACATGTCTTCGTCCCCGACCTCGACCTCCTCTGCGCGCCCTGCCATCTTCGCACTCTTCAGCCACGCCGCGACCAGTTCGCACACCTCAGAGCTTGACATAGAGGCACAGCACCCCCAGCCCTCTCCCGCTCGTACCCACACTGCCCGCGCACTCCGTGGCTCGACAGACGACACCACGGACGCGATCGACGACTTCTTCGGAGCGGCGCGTTCCTCGAGCCCACACCGCGCACACACCATGACCGGGACGCGAGAGAGCCGGCACGACGAACCACGCTCGACCATCGCTCTCGAGGCCGAGTCCGACGACGACTCCACCCCACCCCCGCCGTACTACGAGCCGCACCGCTCGAGCGCGGAGCCGCCCGCGTACACGCAGGTCGCGGACCAGCCGACGCTCGCCATGTACCTCTTCAAGTTCGGCTTCCGTGAGTGCCCCGCCCGCATGTACTGTCTGTGCCGAGTCGCGTGTGCTGACTGGGCTATTCCCTGTAGTGTTCCCTCT